CTGTTCCGTTTGGAATTTAGGAAAAACGTAAAACATGAAAGTTGTAGCCCTTTGAGTTAGCTTTTCAACCATATATTGTAGAGCCCAAATGGAGTTCTGAGCAAAAAGTTATGTCTATTTTACTAGATAGTGCGCAATATGCCTCCTCAAGTCTTCGTTCGTACTTAATTATCAAATTTGACCTCCGAACACGATCCCGGCTTAATTCCTTGAGCTTTTACTCAGACTTCAAAGCTTCAAATCACTTAAATTCATTCCATAACATCTATATAGCTCGGAATCACACCTACAAGGCATAAAACACACAATTAGTACAAAACACTAGCGATTAAAGCACAAACTCAATTAAAGTGCAGTAAATTCGAGTGTAATAAGCGACTAAAATATGCAATTATAGCCTATCATCACCACCTTTATCCAAACTCTCAATAATTCGCCGAAAAATTATACCATATAGTTAGGTAAAAAAAATTATGTATAGGCATATACTATATGTTAAATCCTCTAAGTTTTTTCATGTGTTTACTTCTTTATAATTGACCCTCAATAATTGTAGCTCCGCCACGGGCCAAACAATCCCTTTAACATCATTTATTCATTTGGATGATAGTTAATTGAAAGAATTACAGCCCATGTCACTTGGCCTAATAGCCCAACCGAAAATGGCCCACATTTAAAGCTCTTACACTATATAGCCCATGTTGTACATAACTTGAAAGAAACCTTTCAGCCTTTAGCCCACTATTAAAGACATACTTTTAGGGTTTTTATTATTTTCTTCTTTCTTCATTCCCTTCTCTCTCTCACCGCCTCTCACTCCTTTCTCTCTAACCCACATAGATCCCCCATCCTCTCTTAACCTAGCCCCCGCTATTCCCTTCCTTTATCCCCTATGCAATTCTGCCATTAATGGCTCGAAGAAGGCTCGAAGAAAGACTCCGTCGTCCATGGTGGCAAGCAGAAGAACGAAGAAGATTTTTGAAAGAAACATGAAAATACACACAGGTCTGAAAATAAATAGCTCTCAAACTTGATTTGCACCAACAAACAACCACTAATTTTGGAGGATTTTGAAGTTTGAAGTTCTGGTAATTTTGGAAGATTCTGAAGTTTGAAGTTTGAAGTTCTGGAAAATCATAACTATGTAGCAGGTTGTATCGACACTGTATAATAGTGTATAATTGTGTATATGGGTATACAGACACCTCTTATACACTATTATACATGTTTATACAAGTTATACAGTATTGTATAATTATGTATAAATGTGTATATTTGTGGATAATGTTGTATAAATATATATATTTTTTTCAGTTTATAAGGATGTATATACATTGTTAGCGTGTAAGAGGTCTCTACAGAAGTTTGACACTTCCTTCTCTTCTTCTTTTTCGTGTATGTGCTACATGAAACAGATTTGTACGCGTTGGAGGAATTCTACAATTCATTTATCAATTTTTTATTTTTCTTTTATCCTGTTGGATTGCTTCAGCAATTGCACATAAAGGTGTTTGAATTTCTTACCTTCAGATAATATGTTGATTGTGTGAAATAAGCTGTTTTTTCGGGAATTAGCCTATTATTTTTGGGCTATAGATTTGCAATGTGATATCTAGGCTATTATGTTGCAAGTCAGGTGTGTGAGTTATACTTAAGTGAAATTATCCCTAGTTAATTTTCTACTCTTAGTTCTTAAGAATCTTAAAAGTAATATAGGCTCTCTTTCATATTTTATTTATTGCGATCTTTACGCAAATAGCCGATCATATTTACTATTTATTTTTTCTAACCATATACATTGATTATACATAATTATCCACATGTAATACATAAGTTATGCTAGGTCAATTGCATTATAACGTAGGATGAGAGGGGAAAAAAACAGGTGTACTATCTCCGAGAAATGAGCTCTAATATTGTTTCTTTTTTGGGAATTTCGGGAAATGGAATAACTGTGCATGTAAAATATACATTCCTTATCTTTAGTTAATCTTAATCTGAACCATTGGAATTTAAATAGGGCATGTGTGGCATAGAGAAAATGAAGAGTATGTTTAACGGAGGGCAGTCACATTCGGATTTTTTCAAAAGAAATTTTTTTCTCTTTAATAAAATTTCAATAACTGTACGTAGACGTCATTTGTTGAGAGATTAACCTGTGTTATGGTTACAACTTGGGAATTCATAATCACAACTGGTTCAAATCTGGCTTCATTCAAATAACTGTAAATCTTATTCATTTTTCAAGCCCTCGTAACACAACAATATGGTAGCCTCTCCAGATAACAATGCGGTATTCTTCACTTAATTTCAGATAATTTTTTATATTACAAACGTATTAGCTTTCAAACTTATGCATGTCTCTGTAATTCTTAGGGAATGCCTGTCCAAAAAAAAATTAGTAAATAATACAAATATGTTAACGGAGCACCCAGTCTCAGTAGTAATTTTCAGATTAAAAATAATTAAGCACCCATAATTTAAGAATTTTGGATACGCTATGGGAATTGATCTTATGATACATTCTTGTGCATGGATTGAGAGTTTGGATTGATACTGTATTGTGTGAATCGTTATTAAGGTAATGTTTCAATTCCTTGTTTAATGGGAATATAATCAAATGAAAGGCTGATGGAAGAAGTGAAGAACAAAAGGCGATAGACGAATGGCTTCCCATTACTTCTTCTAGGAACGCAAAATGGTGGTATTCAGCATTCCACAATGTTACTGCTATGGTTGGAGCTGGTGTCCTCGGTCTTCCTTATGCCATGTCAGAGCTCGGATGGTACGTACATTTACCTATATCTTAGAGTATTCAACAATACTAACTTTTCATATACTTTAATTTCTATCTTATATTATTGAGATGAGTTTGGACGTAATCTCAGGGGACCTGGTGTAACAGTGATGTTGGTATCTTGGGTTATAACTTTATACACACTATGGCAAATGGTTGAGATGCACGAAATGGTTCCAGGGAAACGTTTCGATAGATATCATGAATTGGGGCAGCATGTTTTTGGTAACAAGCTCGGCCTATGGATAGTGGTGCCTCAGCAACTTGTTGTTGAAGTTGGCCTTGACATTGTTTATATGGTGACTGGAGGAAAATCATTCCAGAAAATCCATGATTTAGTATGCAAAGACAATTGCAAAGATATCAAACTCACCTATTACATCATGATATTTGCTTCTGTCCATTTTGTGCTCTCTCATCTTCCCAACTTCAATGCCATATCTGGTGTGTCTTTGGTAGCAGCTATCATGTCCTTAAGGTATAGAAATTACTTCCTTTTGCTTATTGTTATTGTTATTGTTCCATTAATATTTAGGACATCGCGCTCCTAACTTTCTGACATATATATATATATATATATTGGATTAGAAAGGTCACATTTTTATTTACTTATGTATGTCTTCAATGCGCCTCCACATTCTTTTTCATATGTCAAACATATGGAATTCTTTTTGATAATGGGGCGATGGCAGGGGAGGATCCAGTATATGTTACAGGGTTCAACTGAACCCAATATTTTTAGCGCGAAGTATAAATTTATGTGTAAAAATTTACTAAACTTCTAAAAATAGTAAATATGAACTCATAACTTTTATAAAATTGATTTTATATCAAGAACCTCTTATTTCTATGTTTTCTGTTGATGGTACTTATGTATTTGTTTCTTTTCGTCTTCTTGAGCCGATGGTCTTTCGGAAACAATCTCTCTACTCTCTCGGGGTAGGGATAAGGTCTGCGTACTCACTACCCTCCCCAAACCCCACTAGTGGGATTCACTGGGTTGTTGTTGTTTATATCAAGAACTATAAAGATTGAACCCATAGAATTTAAATATCGGATCCGCCTTTGGGCGATGGTGAGACTCGAACTGAGGATCTCTTCCTACTCTTGTAGTACCATATTGCAGTCTGTGGCTATCTCATCTAATAGTTTAAGCTGTTAGAAAAAGGACAATTTTATTTACTTAATGATGTCTTCAACAGTTACTGCACAATTGCATGGGGGGCTTCAATTGATAAGGGTGTGCAACCAGATGTGGAATATGAATACAGGGCTGAAAACACAGGGGAAGGTATTTTCAACTTTTTCAGTGGATTGGGAGAAGTGGCATTTGCATATGCAGGTCATAATGTTGTGTTAGAAATTCAAGCTACAATCCCTTCAACACCTGAGAAACCTTCTAAAGGACCTATGTGGAAAGGAGTTCTTGTTGCTTACATTATTGTGGCTCTTTGTTACTTCCCTGTTGCTATTATTGGCTATTGGATATTTGGGAATTCAGTATCAGACAACATTCTTATCTCTTTGGAGAAACCTACTTGGCTTATTGTCTTGGCTAATGCCTTTGTTGTTATCCACATTATTGGGAGCTATCAGGTATGACATGAAACCTATGTTGCTCAGGCTCTCCAAAAATGATGCCGCACTCGTGTCAGTCAGCAGTGGCAGAGCCAGGATTTCCAACGAAGGGATGTCGGTTGACACCCCTTAGGTGCATGGGCGAAGCCACCTTTAGCAAATGGTATATAAGTAAAATATTGATTTTAGATATATAAAACCTATATTGAACACCCTTTGTCGGAATTTTTTTTTACTTCTTTCAAGTTTGAACACCCTTGGAAACATTTCTGGCCACCCTTGGAAACATTTCTGGCTTTTTCATTGCTTGGGTGCAGTGGCGAAGCCAAGAAATTCAAAAGGGTGTTCAAACCAGTGGGCTATGCAAGGGTGTTCAAGGTCTTTTTTTAATCAATAACAAGTAATATTTTACCTTATACATAGTATAATTTTTCGGCGAAGGGTGTTCAGTTGACCACCCCTAGGCCAACATAGCTTCGCCCCTGCTTGGGTGCATGTGGGTCCGCAACTGTGTGTCAGATCCTCCAAAAATGTTCTACTTTTGGAGGGTCCGACACGTATATTTGTGATGAGTCCGAGCAACATAGCATGAAAAATTCTTGTTGATTGAGTTCCTATTTGTACTAGAACGGTTTGGTTATATGTAGAGTTGTAGCATTTTTCTCTGACTAAATGTGCTTGATTTTGTGCTATTGTAGTTGTATGCAATTCCGGTGTTTGACATGCTTGAGACTTACCTTGTTAAGAAACTTAAGTTCAAGCCAAGTTGGTACTTGCGATTTATGACCAGAAACCTTTATGTTGGTAAGTTACTTGCCTTTATTTGAAGCAGAAACTTTTGTTGGTACAGTGGTGTTGCTTTCAGTTCTGAGTACATTGTAATGCCTTTGCTTTTATCGTAGCTTTCACAATGTTTGTTGGAATCATCTTCCCTTTCTTTGGGGGGCTTCTTGGTTTCTTTGGAGGATTTGCTTTTGCCCCAACAACCTATTTTGTAAGTTCCCTTGTCTATTCTTGGTTTGTAGACTTTCTAGTGCTGATAGAGGCAGAGCTAGGTAGAGGGGTTCAATTGAATCTCCTTTTCGATAACTATACTGCGCAAATAGGAGGAAATGAACCTTCTATTTATATATCTATTGTTAAATCTCCTTGACATGAGAGAAAATTCTGGTATAGTGGTAAAGGGGGTTCAACATTAAGTTCGGGGTCAGGTTAAATTCTAGATGTATTTGTTGAATTCCCTTGATTGAATTTTTGGCTCCGCCACTACACGTCGACAGGAGAAAATGATAGCTAGCACTAACACAATGTAATTTTTACATTTCTTTCAGCTCCCTTGCATCATGTGGCTTTCAATCTACAAACCAAAGAAATGGGGTCTCTCATGGACTACTAACTGGGTACGGTTCAACTACTTCTGCTTTTTTGATATTGTCATTTTATCTGATTCTGTTTTTATAAGCTAAAAACCAAAACTAATTGGACAAATTATTACAGATTTGCATAATAGTGGGAGTAATGTTGACTGTTTTAGCACCAATTGGTGGCTTAAGAACCATCATTATACAAGCCAAGGATTACAAATTTTTCTCTTAGGCATCTCTCGTCTGGCACACAGCTTCGGAGAAATGGGTGACAATTGGAGGTCTCATTTATGTTTCTATGTGTGTTAAATCACAAAGATACTTGGTCTGTGTTTTGGGCTTGTACTAGTTTCAGTATACATTTATTTTCGTGTTGCTTCTTGTGTAATGTAACTATAATTAATGTTATATTACTGTCAGGAGTATTATCAAAGTGGCATTTAGCACTTTATTTTCTCTCTCTAATCAAACTTGAAAATGATGCAAGCGCATTCAACACTTTGTGATTTAACCTCGTTCAGAGAACAGCTGAAAGAATAAGACTGAAACAAGGATTTTCGCAAAGAAGAGTCAAAATATAAAGAAGTAAACATATACACAATTGATTTTCCTTCAACATATTGTAGCTACAATATTGGCACCCCCTTGAATAAGGTGCTCCGCCACTGATTTGAAACCCCAAATTGAAACATATCAAGTGTCCTTCTCGTAAAGTTCTCCTTCATGAGATTTGGACATGATTTGGTTGAAATTTGAAAAAGACGTATTTGAAGTTAGAAGTTGGAAAAGAGTCCTATCTAGGCCGTGTCCAAACTGAAATTTTCTCATATCAAAAGATGAACAAGATCTTGACCTTAAAATGGTTTACAGCCTATGATCACCCATAAAAAAACATGAAGAAAACATCCCTTGCCCTTTTCTCCAACCACTCCAGCGATATTCCAACAACAAAACTGTGTTAACCTTTTGGCGACTTTATTCAATTCTAATTTTTACATAATTTATTTTGGGTCCTTTCCTGTCAAATTTTGCAGTCTCCTCGAAAATTGAATCATCATAACTAAAATCATGGATAAAAAGATTTAAAATATAAATATACATGCGAAGCTGAAAGATCAGAAAAGGCAACTGCAGAGCACTTCCACACAATTCTTTTCCACATCCAATAACAAACTGAATGCCAAGTCAATGTTCTCCATTTTTTTTCTTATATGTTATTTTTTTCTTTTTTCTTTTCTGTTTTCTTCTTCTTTCGGCTTTCAATATGGAATAGGATTTATGTCATTAACCTATTAGTGATCTCTAAAACACTATGATACAGCTATAGCAACAGAGGGCAGCTTAATCAATTTCACCTTCCTCAGGCTCAACATCCTTAGGATAACTTGGGACAGTAGCGGGCTCACATTCTTCCTCATCATCATCCATCTTCATGTACAACCCAAGTTGCTCCAGAGCATTACTGCCTCCAAATTTGAAGCCACCTAGCCCATCCTGGGAATGATCTGGACTGGTCTCATCTACTGAGCTAGGTAATTGCTCGGGTGGGACAGCAGTCAGCATCTCCAAATCCTCAAGAAACTTTGAATTCTCATTAATCTCTACAGTCTTTTCCATCTGCACGAAGCAATGGAAGTTTCATGTGATTCTTCAGCTGAAGTGCGTCGAACATTAAGCACGAGACCTTCTACAACATGGGATAGTTTCTACTCACCTGGAGTAATGCCTGTCTTGCTGCTTCTCTATCGAGCTCTCTCCTCCTCTTAGCCTCAGCTGCAGCTTCTGCTTCTGCACGTCTTTGAGCTTCTTCAGCAGCTCTGGCTTCTGCTTGCAACTTAGCTTTTTCTGATCATGGAAATTAACTTTATAAGGCTACCAATTCACATGCAAAGAATTTCCTCCATCTTTTTAGATTGGGAGTGTGAGGGGGCTACCTTTCCTCCTCCGCATCTGAAGTTCCTCCCTTTCATGACGAAGTTTCTCGGGATCGCCCTTCTCGACCTTTATAGCAAATTACAGGATGGAATGACAAGCTGGTCAAAATATTAAGGAAAAAGCAGTAGCAAGTCCTATAACAAGCAGATATACTCACCTCAACAAGTGTCTTCTCTCGAGCTTTTAAAATTGTATCTGCAAATCTATTCTTCAGGAGAGCGGCTCTATAGAGCTTTTCAGGGGAGACCCTCCTGTCTGGCACACTCTCCCCTAAAATGTTAATAGCACAACGGATGAACCCACAAAATAAAAAAGGCAAGGGAATTAGACCAACTTTTCACTTCTCAAACTTACCGTCTTGATATGCTTCTGACTCGACAGATACTGGCATTTGCTGAGAACTTTGTTCCAGCTGGTCCATGCCACTGATAGACTCTGGAGATTAAAACACGGATTGAAATAGCAACATCTACCAAGTCAAGGGACAGAAAAACATAAGACAATAACCTGACTACAGGAACTCTGACCACATGACAGAGCTAAATAATTCAATAACATAACCTCAATACACCCTCTTGCACCAGTGAAAATCAAAACCTACAGAGCTAA